CTTACTAGATTCTGACCACTTCTTCCTTTTCTCTCTCCTGCCTGTCTCCCTGTCCTTCAGTACTTCTGTAGCTTCCCCTTCATGTTCTGTTCTCCTAGCGACCTCCTTGTGTGCAGAAACTGTGGTGGGGGCTAGGCCACCTCCATGCCTCCTGCTTCCAGTGGGTGTTAGACTTGGGAATGACCCTGGTGAGAATTCCCCTGCTTCTGAGTGTTTGGCCCAAAAGCCTGTGGCAGGTGGACACAGAGTTGGATCACTCTTTTTATTTCCAGTGAAATAAATGGTATTTCAACCTAGATTTTAAAAAATCTTGCCATGTGCAGCAACATGAATGGGCCTAGAGGGTATTATGCTAAGTGAAATAAGCCAGAGAAATAAATGTTTATTTCACTTATATGTGGAATCTTAAAAACGGAACAAATAAAACACACAGATGCATAGATACACAGAACAAACTCATAGTTGCCAGAGAACTGGGTAGTGGGGAGGGGGAATGGGCAAAATGGAGGGGCATTAAGAGCTACAAAGTTATAGTTATGACACAGTAAAGGCACAGGGGTATAATGCACAGCGTTGGGAATGCAGTCGATAATATTGCAATAGCTTTGTATGGTGAGAGATGGTTTCTAGACTTCTCATGTGATCACTTCATAAAGTAAATATACATGTGAAATCACTGTTGTACACCTGAAGCTAATATAATACAGTATATCAACTATTCTCTAATTAAAAAGAGTTTTACATTCTAGAGTAAAAATTTTTTAAAAACCTTAGAGCCTTTGTCCTGTGTTTTTCCACAGGACACATGTAACACATGAATATCAATATCTCAAAACAAAATTCAGAGCAACATAACATGTATTCCAAGTACCTTTTCCCCTTTAAAACATATACATCACACATTTAAAAAAGAAAATTCTGTCGTGTTTTTGAATATCAAAAAATATTTCAATGCTTCGGGAGGTGATAAAGGTTTCCAGAAGACAAACCATACATAATAATTGCTAATTCACATTTTTACATTAGTCTACTTTATTTAAATTGACTATTTTCACAATAATCTTAAAAATTTAATACTATTATAATCTCCATTTCACACACAAAACCCCAAAACTAGGAAATAGAGAAGGTTAAATTGTTTGCCCAAGATCACACATAGAGGTGAGATTCTAATCATAGTCCACACGTTTGACACCAGAGTTCAGGCTCCTAAGTACCTGGTTCCTTGACTACCTGACTGCCTGCCTACCTACCTACCTACCTACTTACCTAAACACTCACCAACAGATACATGATCCCCCCAAAACTATGCAGGCATATGAACAATGGATGTTCTTTCTCTTTTTCCCTTCTCATTTACCAAGTATATAAAAGTCTAAACAACAACAAAAAAACAACATCGAAACTTCCTAATCTATCTCAATAGCAGTGATTTTTATTTTTATGTAAAACCTGAATCTAATTTATCAAAAAAATCTTCTTTAAAAAGTTCTTCCTTTTAATTGTAACTAACTTATACCAAAGCAAGATGCTTTCTTTACAGACATATCAGGCAAATAATCTTGCTCCAGCCCTTCCTAATTCTTCACACTCTCCAATCATGTTTTTCTTTCTTCCTTCTATTTCCAATGTCCCTGATTTCTGCCCACTGTGTCTAAAATGACCTGCCGTGCCATTTCCTCTTGTATCTGGCTGATAGGAACATGTATCTGGCTCATATTTAAATAATGAAGCTGGAAAGGACTTTAGAAAGATCAGGTCATCTGATCCCACCTACTCAGATGCAGACAAACTCATCACCAGGACAGTGTGAATGTGCCCCTGAAGTTGGGCCTGCCCCGAGCTACCACCAAAGCAGTTCCTGGCCGAGGGACATTTCAGGCTGCTAGGGCTCTCCATTACAATCGCCTCCTGTTTATTCCTCCTGTCTTGCCCACACAAGGGACACCAGGTAGGACTGATAGAAAGGCCAAACAAAGGCTAGCTTTACTATTGAATAAAGGACATTTCAGCCCTTTTATCCTCCCCTGCTCACAGAAAGGTCTTTCGAGCCCTGGCTTACTTGGAACTACTATTATCAATTCTTTCTGTTTCAGCACTTACTTTTAGAGAATTAAACTAATAGCAGCAGTAATAAAAACATTACTACCATCAAAAAACTGAGAAGGAAAGTACAGTTGTTGGGTTTGATACTGAAATAATACCTGGAAAGTCTTTAGAGGCTTACTCTGTGATCTGCACATTACAAACACTCCTGTTACATGATCACTGGATATGTAGCTCAAATATGTCATGAATCATTTAAAAAATTTGCTATCTACTATAGGAAATTGTAATTGTAACTCTTCATTCCAGAAAATTTTTATTGTATTGGTTTGCATAAATATACCAAATTGGACATAAAGTTTATAAGAAAAGTCATACAAAAATGAGAATGCAGAAAATTATCTAAAGAGAAAGATACCGTATTTTGCTGTGTATAATGCATTCCCATGTATAGTGCACACCCACATTTTGGGCCCAAGCTTTCAGGAAAAAAATATTTCATTTTAATTTTTTAATTCAATTTTTTATTTGTTTATATTCAGAAACAAAACCGATTAGTGTATTCCAGGGGACTATTTCACATACAGATATTGTTATTGCTTTCTAGAGTTAAACTTTTAATGCATAAGCATAAATAAAAGAATTTAAAAGCATTTATATATATATGGAATTAGTATTACCAATGTATATATAATGTGCATCCTTATTTTCCCCCTCCAAATTTTAGGCAAAAAATGCACATTATACACAGCAAAATATGTGTATTTTGCTACACATATTTTATGGTAATCTGAGCTACTTTCATGTAGAAGGAGCATTCAATACTGCTTTGTGAATGCCATTACTCTCCTCACAAATCAATGAACATTCAAGAAAGATGCCTTTAAATTTTTTGACCATGACTTACTATAAGAAATGACATACCCTCTGAAATAAAAATTTCACAAATCATTATTTACCTATGCTAATTACTACGTGTTCAAACTTTAAAAAACCACTGGTGATGACATGTTAAGTTGATTTCATGGCTCACCAGTGAATCCCCACCCATAATTTTAAAAGCTCTGTTCTAGAAGAACTGCACCATGTCAGAGCAAAGTTGCTAAATTTGACAGCCTAGATAACCTAATCACATCCCAACTGCAACACTGAACATTTAAGGGTGATTTGAAAGGAAAGTCAAGATACAAAAAAAATTCCAAGTAGCATCTGCCTTAAGAAGAAGTTTTGCTTTAAAATGAGAGGTAAAAGAGAAATGGAATAAAAATAAATGCTTGAAATATTGGAACGAACTCATTAACTCTCACCTCTATTTCACAAACTATCACTATAAAGCCTCTACTGAACACTGAAATTAATTACTCAATCTATAGTATTTTATTTATTTTATCTTTTTTTAGATGGTATTCATTTATTTCCAGAGAAAGGGAAAGAAGGAGAGAAACATCAATGTGTGGTTGCCTCTCACGTGCCCCCTACTGGGAACCTGACTGGCAACCCAGGCATGTGCCCTGACTGGGAATGGAACCAGCGACCCTTCGCTTCTCAGGCCAGCACTCAATCCACTGAGCTACACCAGTTAGGGCTCCAGTAGGGCTCCAGAGTAGGGCCCCTATTCTGCTCCTAATAATGATCTTCTATTTAAATTTCAAGATTGGCTATAGCGAGGAGGGGGGAAGAAAGTGGTCTCTGGATGACTAGAGATCAATATTGATGCCATGTTCTAACTCTGGCTGGTTTTCAATGGAAAACAGTGCAAACACAGGAGAGATAATCTGTTACTGAGACCCCCTTGTCAGCAATTGAATTAGGAACAGTTGTGAAGTGACCTCTTGGAACAGAAAGAGTAGTGCTCTAAAATTGCCAGTAATTTTAGCCACTCATTTTCCTTGACCATTGTCTAGAAGTATTGACAAGCCGACGTAAGATTATTTGGACTGATCATGACTGATAAGTAATGGTAGGAGGTCAAAAGGAAAGAAAATGGAAATGTGAGGAAGAGATAACTTCATAGTAAATAAAGTTTCTATTCTATTCTCCAGAAACAGAATTGAATACCTTCTGAACTAATAATAGTCTTGTCAGTAAAGTGTACGATTTCTTACATTGGTAAGTTAGAATAAACAACCTGAAAATCCCTTCCAACTCCGAGAAATCTGTAATTATAAGTTTAAATCTCAACATCAGGTAACATTTTGGGGGTATATTAGATGGTTTTTTAGGTACCTACAAAAGATAATCCCACTCATCAGAAAAAACTTGTAATGAAGATTACAGTAAAATAATTACTACTACCAGAAAACGGATATGGAAAGTACAGTTGTACTTTGAGATCAGTGGTTATACAATGAAAAAAATGAAATATTTCATTTTCCAAATACTTTCACCTGGTTTCACAGGCACAAATATATGTTATAATTTATCAAATTATGTAAGTATAGTATATTGCTATATCAATTTTGCCTAGATACCATTTTAAAAATACCATCACCAGCTTTCCATTTACGTAAACAAATTTTTTCATTCCATTGATCAATAAGACCAAGATTATAGCTGCACCCTTATATTTTCTGTTTCTCTTTTAAATTTATTGTCCTTTGTATTCAAGTTTTATTGTGTTCTTCTTACCTTCCTAAATCAGCAATGACTGAAGAGCATACAGAGTAACTAAGCTCTAATGAGCATCTAAGTTTTTCTGCTGGTCTTCAAATAACCATTACCATACTATGGGATATATCTTTCCTTTAACAACTTAAACCACAGCCTAGAAACTTGCAGAGTTCTTAACAATTTATTCTTCTTTCTAAGTTAAGAAAATTCATTTCTAGGTGCTTCCATGCTACCAAGCTATAGTTCACCTGTCATTTTCTTCCCACATTCTTTATCTTGAAACCATTTGAAATAAAATCTGAAAACTATGGAGGGAAAGGAGGGACGTCAACAAGACTACTCACATCAGATTTAGAGGACATATTCTCCTCCGCGTCGGAATCATTGGGATCCACGATATCATCAAATGGGGGCAAAGTGGATTTCTTCTTCTCTGATGTCTCACTCTCAATTTTGACCTTTCCCATCTTGACATGAGATTTATCTTTGATCTGTTTTTTGTCAGCAGAACAAGTGAGTATCAGCGGGGGCGCACTAGAGAAACTTTTAAATAAAGCCTCTGAGCTACTCTTTTTCCTTTTTTTGGCTGAGAGTTCTTCAGAATCTGAAATGGGGGGCCTTTTACTGGGAGCCTTCTTATCTTGCTGTCCACTGGTGATAGTGAGTAAGTTACTGTCTGGTTTTGGCTCTTTTGACATGGGTTTCGGTTCCTTGAAGGCCATCTTAGGAACTATTTTTTCTTCTTTCAGTGGTTTATTTTCTTTGGGTTTCTTAGAGGATTCTTTGGAAGATTTGTTGTGATCCCTGGAAGGTTCTTTGAAGGCACTTTTATGTTCTCTGGAGTCTTTAGAAGGTTTTTCCTTGTGCTCCTTCATTAACTTGTGAGGCTTTGAAAAACTGGTGCTGCTGCTGCTGCTACTGCTGCTGCTACTGCTGCTGCTGCTACAGCTGCTGCTGCTACTGCTGCTGCTGCTACTGCTGCTACTGCTACTGCTGCTGCTGCTACAGCTGCTGCTGCTGCTGCTGCTGCTGGTATGAACACTCCGATTAGGGTCCTGCAAAAAAGGGAGAAGAAATGAAACTCAAAGCTGAATAGCAACAGAGTCAAAAGCCACTTTCCCTGCATTCCAACCACACAAAAATGATCCCTCTTTGATTACTCTCTAAGTAATGGAAACCAACAACCACAGTATAACAGGTGGGAAAAGGGTATGTGAGAAACACGGTGAATAGGGCTACTATGGATCAAGGAATTTAATGAGGCAAGCTGTTTTCTTAATCATGAGAAGCGTGGTGTTCTAAACATTTCAATTCAACGAATGTTCACTAAATGCTTGTTCTGGAAGATGGATAAAGATGGATAACACATGGCTCCACTTTTTGAAATATTTTTGTATTTTTCAATTACAGTTGATGTACAACATTATATTAGTTTCAGGTGTATAGCCCAGCGATTAGACATTTATATAACTTAATGAAGAGATCACCCCTATAAATCTAGACCCACCTGACACTATACATAATTATAACAATATTATTGGCTATATTGCCTATGCTGTACTTTACATCCTCATGACTATACATCCTCATGTATTTTTACATCCTCATGACTATACGTAACTACCAATTTTTACTTCTCAATGGCTTCATCTTTTTCACCCATCCCCCCACTCCCCTCCTCTCTGGCAATCATTAGATGTTCTCTGTATCTATGAATATGTTTCTGTTCTGCTTGTTCATTTGTTTTGGTTTTTAGATTCTACATATGAGTGAAATCATACGGCATTTGTCTTTCTCTGCCTGACTTATTTCACTTAGCACAATGCCCTCGCGGTCCAGACATGTAGTTGCAGATGACAAGGTTTCCACATGCCCCATTCTTAATAACAGTGACATTTCTATGATTCACAGTTGCTGTAAGAGCCACTTATATGATGTTATGACAACTAAAAGCAGGGGATCAGTAATTCCACTGAGGGTTTGGGGAATGGAGTAATTCAGAAATTCATGGACAATTAACACCTGAACTAGGTCTTCAAGAATAAGCAGTTAATACCAGGAAGAGAAGAATGAAAAAGTAGCTAGAGACCAGAGACTAGAATGAATAGAAACAATGCGGGAACAAAGCACAGATTACATTTAGGGAGCACCATTTGGTTTTGAGAAAGGGGCAGGAAAATAGTCCAGGGTCATACAGTGAGGCCTAATAATATTAAATTTTAAAGGGCCTTTTAATGTAAAGAAACATGAGGACTCCCTCCCCAAATAAAATTATTCTCAATTTGAGATAAAAAGCAATTATCTTTTGCTGTCCAAACTTCAGTACTTAAGAAATATGTCCCTCATCCACTAGCAAAGAAAAAAAGGAAACATCCAAGAACAAAGATTTCACCTAACGGTCACCAAATGCAATGAAAAATCTTCATCAATTACTGTTGTATGATCATAAAGAGTTCATTGCTGTCTTCTGTTTTAAATGTTACCAATTTTTTCACTCACATAAATACATCAGAATATATGACCTTTCTACCTATGCACAAAGTCTAAATCCATACTTACCATATTTGTGAACCTCTATTGTTATAATAAAAATAAGAAACAGAAGCAAACCCTGGAGTGCAAAAATCCATAGCAATATGTGAAAGAAGAGCTTTCCCCCACTTATTCACTTCCTAATGGAACCAAAGACAAATAAGTGTTCAAACTTCAAGTGGAATTTACATCTTTAGGCTTATTATATTTCACCTCTAACTCACCTCACCCACTTAAGGTCAATGATCTATACATACAAACCAACCCTCTATTCTTTAACTATCTAGCAGGACACAAGAAAAGATAGTAGGCAGGGCCGATGCTTTTCTGGAACATGAAGAGTCTATTTATTGGGTGTATGGGGAGGAAAGGCGTGTATATGGACAAGCATTAGAAAGTAATACCCAAAATGAAAAATGATTGTTCTGTGTTAGTGGAGATATGTATTTCTTTTTTTTTCTTTTTACAATTTATTTTGTCTTAACAACAGAATGACACATACCAATTATTTCATTTATTTTTCGCAAGTGAGCATTTGGTTTCAAAATTCTAAATTGGATGTTACAAATCAAAGACATTCTTTTGTGCAACAAACTAGATAATCCCTTACAAAACATCTTAATCTGAGATTTAAAAGCAGAATGCTAAAGACAGTATTCACATTACTGAAACTACATTGTTTTATAAATTCTATTACAAGACATTCCCTGGAATGTTAAATAATACTATGAAAAATTAAAATAGACTATAATGGACAAACTAAATTAAGGAAGAGCATTATGAAACCTAATATCCTTGAGGTTTTTGTTGTTGTTAACTGGTTTGTTGCCTTACAGAATTTTGGCAATTTGCAGTCAGTATTCTAACTATGGCTCTCAAACTCCCAAGCAATGCTGTTTTATATTCAACCTATGGAGTATCACACATGTTACACAAATGTAATTTATATGAATAAATTTTAACCTACTAATATATATTCTAATGTTAAGCATTAAAAATACTAACACTTCAGCACCAACAAAAATAAAAGGACTGCTATAACGGTTCTTTCATGATTTTTTAAAATCTCGTAGTACAATCTGGAATTCTTAACACAAATTACGTTGTGGTATATGACAGAGATTTTTGTGTCATAGAAAGTTCACGTTCTCAACTTAATTACATACATATGATGTTAAATACGAAACTCCAGAAATTTTACAACTTTTACTCCCCACGTTGGTCCAGGCTTTTAAGACCCACCATCACCTTTTCGCCCACCCAACAAATCTTGGTACAAGCAAATGACCCAATCATTGTTGCTCCTTCCACTTTACCAGAAAGCTTTCAATAAAAGACAACTCAGAGCTAAGGAGGAAAACATATTCGTTAGCAATATCCCAGACAAATAAAAATTGAGAAAAATAACAAAAAGATGAGGGAATGTTTACTGTTTCATATGGCTACATTTTCTGTGATCGATGGCAAAGTACAAATGTATGTCACCTGAATCCACATTCATACAGGTAATAAATGCAAAACAAAGGCTTGCACAGAAAGTCAGGAATTAAATTGTTACTGAAACTGAATCTCAGCCCCTCTATTCCTTATATATTGGGGATCACACCACTGGGTTTTAAATTTTTACTGAACACTAAGTGCCACTAAGCAGCACAGACTAATTATCATTCAGTGTGAAGTTTACACATGTTGTATAATCCAAATTTTCTTTGCTTGAGGCTGATTAAGACAAATGAAATATCAATATTGGGGAGAGTATGTGTATATAATTCAAATATCAAATATTTAAGGCAAATGACTGTTTAAATGTAAATATACATGTTTTTGTACTAACTTTACAACCTGTGAATACAGGGTACAGTATTTTTTCATCTACTCAGATTTTAATAAATGCTTTCTTGTTTTAATTTTCTACAACAGAATAAGCCCCTTAAATATGTAATTGTTTTAATACTACTTGTCAGCAACCCCAGGCTTCAGAGAAGGTGCACCTATTCATCAGAATAAGGTCTTCTGATTATATGTGATTTGCAACTTCCATGTTATCACAAGGTCTTCTTCCTATTACTGCTGTTAACTCAAAGATGCTTCTCCAGCTCCTGCTTCTTCCCCTCCCTATCCTCTTAATTTTGGCCTCTGTCCTACTTTAATGAGTTTCTCCATTGTGTAAGATTTTCAGTTCATTCATGGCTTATTCAGTAAAATTTGCATATCGGCAAATAAACTCTTCTATAGTTTATTCAATAAAATTTGCATATTGGCAAATAAACTCTCCTAGAAGAGGTTTATGTATCCCAAATCAATAAACTCTCCTAGAAGAGTTTATTTGTCCAAGGTCCATCTAAAAGGACAATTCCTAGAAACTGTAGGGCAGTCCAAGAGGTTCTGCATTTAAAGAGTTTAGGACAACGGTGATAGTCAAGGACTGATTTTCAAAATGAAAGTTTCTTCTGCAATGTCATTAAACACTTGATAAATGACACAGAAGGATGAAATACCATCTGATGCTATGAACAAAGTATAAATATTCAGAATTCCGGGGAAAACAATGAACCTTTAATATGGGAGTGAGTGGGGCCTGAATAATGTGGCCACAGAATTATAGTCATCTTCAGAGAGGGCTGGTGCAGAACTGCTCTGATCTGGGCTCCAAGCAAGACCCCAAATGTTCTGTACATATATAACTGCATTAGTGCGACCAATCTCCCTGGCCCCAGTGATGCAAAAGTGAGACAACCCTCTACTCCTGAGGCTGGGAAGGGCAAGAAGACCAGAAGAAAGGCATAGAGCCCCCAGGCCGTAAAGAGACATCATGCCTATTGCTACACTGCAGGCTGAGATGCCTGTGCCCTTCATCACTTACAGGATATAACAGCCTAAGTTCCCTTAACATCTCAGCCTGAACCCCAATATACATATATATATAACATACTTAAGGGTGGAAAAGTATAGGAGAGAGCAGACCTAACAGGTCTTCTGAAGGACACAGATGAAATATTGTGGTCCAAAATAGTATGGCTACTTAAAGAGAGTCAACTAGAGAACAAAAATAATATATACAGATTATAAGATACATTAAAATTTAAGAAGTATAATCCTCAAGCTGAACAATTCAGCAGATGCATAAATTACAATGGAAGATAATCCATAACTGGTAGCATGAAGGATCAACTGAAAGAAATCTCAAGACATACTGTAAAAATACAAAGATATGAAAATTATACTGAGAAAAGAAAGTAGAGTTAAAGAGCAGATGGAGGCAATCTAACTAGCATACCAACCATAGGAAGAGCTCCAGAAGAATCTCTAGGAGGAAAAGGGAAAGATAGAAGAGAGGTAATAATTATAGTAATATGAAAGGAAATTTCCATGAACCAATGAAAAGACACATGCAAAAAACATTTGCTAAAATCCCTGAATTCTAAAGATAGAAAGGAAATCTTAAAAGTTACCAGAAAAAATCAAATTAACATTGGACTTCTCGTCTGTAATACTGGAATTAAAAAAAAAAAAAAGAGTAGCA